GGGTGTCCCAACCCCTCTGCTCCCTGGGCCCGATTCTGCCACCAGTACCAGGCTGCTTCAGGAATGTTAAAGCACGCAGGACTTGGGGCATCTGCTCAGTCTGGGGGGGTGGAGGGGTGGGTGGGTTATGCAGCTGTGTGGCAAATGACCCTGGAACACTCTCCGACAGAGAAACTCCTGCATTCCTGGGCCCTCTGATCCAGGAAGAAAGTCAAGGTGATGAGCTGGGAGGCAACTGCAGGAGGCCTGGCAGCTGGGACGCTGGGGCGTCCTAGGAAGGAGGGGAGGAGAGAGGTGGTTTGTGAGTCAGGGGAGACGGGCAGTGGGGAGGAGGGCATTCAAGGCGGTGGGGTGGGGGCCAGTGGGGGCCAACCTTTGAGCACACCCACAGGAAAGCAGACACCGCACCAACCCACCAAGGTCTAATTAGATCCTCACTCTCAGATTGACCTGTCCTCTCTTGCCCGAGGCCCCAGGGGTGGGGGAGGGTGGGGTCGGGGAGTAGGGGAGGCCGGGTGGCTGCAGATAATTAGAAACATGCTCTACTGAGTGGGCAGGCGCCACCAGGACCACTCCTCCCCTTCCTTCCCCTCTCTTCTCCTGGGCTCTCCAACCCCCTTCTCCACCTGGCCGATTCCAGCCAGACTGGGGGAGGTGTGGGGTGAGGCTGGGAGTAGTGACTTGCTGGGGTTGGCGTCCCGGGCTCTTACATAGATTCTAAAGTGCAAACAACATATTTTCGCCATGCGATGGTATTTAATTACACATAAAAACAGAGCCATTAAACTGAAATTAAACCCTTGTTGGAATCACTTAATTCAGGGCATGACAAATTGCTGTCAGTGGAGGCGGCAGTGCAGTCCCCGGGGGAGGAAGATGGAGATTAGCGGCTTCCATGGCTGGCTGGGTCCTCTCATTCTCGTGGCCTCCTTGCCAGCTCTAAATTCTGAAATTGGGGTCAGAACCCTCTTCCTGAAGACCACCCAAGCCATGGGGCAGCCTCTAGGTTTATTCAGGGAGGCTTGGGGAACTACAGAATCCCCATTTTTAGACAACCTCATCCATTTCTTTAATGGAGAAGTTGAGGCCCAGATGCCAAGGTCACCCAGAGGCACTAAGCTGTGAGCAGAGAGGCTGTTTTTCAAGCTTTGACCCTTGGCCTGAAGACAGAGGTTGAGGTTGGGACTGCGTGGGTGAGGGTCAGGAACCAAGGCAGGCCTTGGAAGGGGAGAGCAGACTTCTCCAGAACTGGATTCTCCTGGCCAAAGTCTGGGGATGGTAGGGAAGGCAAAATGGCCCCATGGCTTGGCTTGGGCTGCTTGAGGAAGTCATCACGTTCTGAAGGACAGCCTGGTGCCCAGACTCTGGAACAAGACAGACCTGGGTGTTTTCCACCTGGGTGAGTTTGGGTGGATGAAACTCTGGCTCCTGTAAGCCTCCGTTTTCCCATCTGTCAAATGGGGATGGTGATTTCCGTCTCTAGAGTCATTCTGAAGACCAGCCGGCATCAGTGCGTGAGCAGGACTTGCGGCTGAGCTCAGTGAGTTCTGCAAGACTTCCTTCTCTGGACTTCAGCTTCCCCATGCGTAATAAGATCCAGCTGGGGCCTGATGGTCTCTAGAACCTTCGCTTGCTCTCTCTCTGTTGGCAATCCTTCTTCCTCCCTCCGGCCCTTCAGTTTCCCTTTTCCTCTTTCTTCTGTGGTTTGAACGTCTCACTGTGGACAGAGGTCTGGGGTCTGTGGTCAGACTATTGGGTAGGAAAAGGGAGGTCCCTGCCCCCTAAGGTTTTTCTGCCTCACTCGGACTTCCAGGCTGTGTGTGAGGCCCATCTGGGAGGCCAAAGGAGACCAGACGGGGCAGGGGCTGTGCTTTGGGGGAAGGGGCACTGGGGGTCGGCGGCTTGCTCTGTGGCCTCCCCCTCCCTGGGTCCTCTGTGATCTGGGAACCTGTTCTCCTGATTGAAACCAGATGAGCCCGTGGTGGCTGGAGCCCTAAGCAGTCCGCTCACTCAGTGTCCTC